TTTCCTAAGACACCACAGTCTCTCCCGAGACACCACAGTCTCTCCTGAGACACTACAGTCTCTCCTGAAACTCCACAGTCTCTCCTGAGACACCACAGTCTCTCCTGAGACACCACAGTCTCTNGTCTCTCCTGAGACACCACAGTCTCTCCTGAGACACCACAGTCTCTTTTGAAACTCCACAGTCTCTCCTGAGACACCACAGTCTCTCCTGAGACATTACAGTCTCTCCTGAGACATTACAGTCTCTCTTGAGACATCACAGTCTCTCCTGAGAAACCACAGTCTCTCCTGAAACTCCACAGTCTCTCCTGAGACACCACAGTCTCTCCTAAGACACCACAGTGGTGTCATTGTTGACCCAAACGTATTACAACTGTAAAAAACTAAATAAAAATTGAAAGTTACTGTATTTGAATATAACTGATAAATAGAAGATACTTTGAAATAAAAAGTGAACAATTAAAATTGTTCATTAACATTAATTTTGAATAATATTTTGACACATGGCAGTCAAAGAGTTAAATATGAAGATGTGACAAAAGAAATGTAATCTTCCATGTCGACTTGTATTCCCACCGCTTTTTTTGTATTTAATGTTGAATAATTTTGATAGTGTAATTTATGTTTAATCACACATTCCTATCGATTAAAGTAAATATTATTGATTTTTCTGATATATATTTTTTGTTTTGGGTGCGAACGAACAACACAAAACAAAAAAAGCCTTGTACTCTCCTCGTTCGTCAATGAAGAACAAACAAACAAACAAACAAACAAAGAAAATGTTTTAGTTTGTTCGGTTTGTCGTCGTCCACTTGGTGTGCATGCGTGCGTGCGTGCGTGTAATAAAAACACAAAAAAAATAATAATAATAATAATAATATACGTTTTCAAATGAATGCGATAAATTTACTTACGCAAAAGGATTGTCGTCGTCGTGGTGTTGTGTTGTGTAATTAAAAAAGAAAAAGAAAAAAAAAACACAAACAAAAAAAAAAGAGAGAGAAAAGGAAAAAAGGAGGGTGTGCGAACGAGTGAGAAAGATGAGAACAAAATACGATTCGAATATCGAAGGACAAAAGAAGAAATTGTGGAAGAATATTAAAAAGTTAAACGTATATTTACAAAGAAAAGAAAAGAATAAGATGATGATGATGATGATAATGATGATAATGATGAAGATGATGATGATGAAGATGATGATGATGATGATGAAGAAAAGAAAACAAATTCCTCGACATAGTACAAAGCATTTAAAAAAAAAAAAAAGCTCAGTCATTTTTCTTTTTAATTTTTTCTTTCTATTTTTCTTTTCTTTTTTTTTTTGTTTTATTTTATTTTATTTTATTTTTAGAGGGGCTCGTCTATTGAATTAATAATGAAACAAAGTAAAAAAAAAAAAAAAGAAAGATAAGCAGAAAATTCAGAAAGAAGAATACGATGATTTGTTGTTTAACACGTTGAGCGCCACGTCAGTCATCGGTGAGTGACACTAGACTTTACGTTGAGGCCACGTCAGTCATTACTGACTGACAGCGTTATAACATGATTAACAACTTTATATGAAATAACAGTAAATTGATTTGAAATTGACTTAATTTTGACTCAATACAGTATTAATGGATTTCATTGAAACATTGTAAACATCAAATAACATAATAAGTTTGTATTAAGATAAGAAACAAGGCCCTACAATAGCAGCGCTTCTTAAGCGGCTAACTCGTGGCCTGACGGGGATTCCCTCTAAAAATGGACGTGGCGCTGAACGTGTTCAATTAATTAACCCGATAAAAAGATCAGATTTTTGTTGTTGTTTTTTTTTTCAGACATATCCTCATTTTATTATTATTTTATTAATACCTTCCTTGTCCCCTAAATTTACAAAATAAAATAAAATAAGCCACTCCCCCCCCCATAAAGTTGAACATTTGTACCGTAGTCTTCCAGGGTACAAAAAAAAAAAAACAATGCAGTTCTTTCGTCGTCGTGTATAAATCAAAAGAGAAAAGAAAAAAGTACATACGAAGATAGATTTTTGTTTTTTTTTGGAAAAGGGAAAAAAGAAGAATGAAAATGTTTGTTTGTATGTGCGTGTGTGTGTGAGAGAGAGAGGGAGAGAAAGAAAATAAAAACATAAATAAATGTACGCAATATAAAAAAAAAGTATGTACGTATGTATGTGTTTTTTTGTTTGTGTTGTTGTGTATGTCTGTCTGTCCTCCTCTGTGTGTGTATGAAAGAAAGAAAAAGGAATTAAGGAGAAAGGGTGAAATAATGGCGGTAAAAGAAAAAAAAAAGAAAAAAAGAAGGAAATTTGGAATGGAAAAGAGAAGAAAGGTAGAAAGAGATGAGATGAGATGAGAAAAGAAAACGAAAACGAAAACGAAAAAAAAAAAAAAGAGAAGAAGAATAAAAAAAAATTGTGTATAACTTAGGCGATCCCTCTGAATGATCTCAGCGTTTTATTTTTGTATAGAGTGCATAAAACGTGTAATTTTCAGGAACGCATTTAAGGGGGTTAAAAGAAAACAAAAAAAAAAGGTGAATAATTAGGATGAATAAGAAAAAAATGAGGGTTGGGTGAGGTGGGGGTTTGAAGAAACTTAGAGGTGTGCAATTGGATGATGAAATGATGAAGAAATAGAATAAGAATAAGAAGAAGAAGATGATGATGATTTAAAGAAACCACACACACATGCGTTTTAGAAAGATATGTAGGTATAATATAGCAACAACCATACAGAGAAAGAAAGAAAGAAAGAAAGGAAAGAAAGGAAAGAAAGAGAAGGGAAGAAAAGACGAATTTAGGTTGCGAAGTGACGGAAGTTTAAAGTTTGTGAACATTTTTCAAATATTTCCCAGTGCGCTGCTTTATGTAATACCCTACATAATACATATACATATATAAAAAGAAAAAAAAAAGGAAAAAAAAATTGTAAAAAAAAAAAATGCTGGAAAAAGTGCAAACACACGTCTCGTTGAAGTTTTTTATTTGTCAACCGATCATCATCCTCTTTCTGTCTCTGTCTCTCTTCCATCGTTTGCTTCCTTTTTTATTTTTTTTTTTTTTCTATTTTTATAATTGTCTTATAGAAATATTTTTTAAAATTAAATTTAACTCTTTGCGAGGCACAGAGAATTTTTAGATAATAAAATGGTTCTTCTATGTTGATGAGAAATTTCATGACAATTTTAAATGAAACAAAATTGATATATTTTTTTTTTTTTTTTACTAATAAAGGTATTGCATAATGTAAAAACATTAAAAAAATAAATAACCAAAATTGTTTTGCATAAATAAGACGAAATATAAATTTATGAGAATGCAACTATTGCAATAATATTTCAGGATGGGACTACAAATGTGTGTTTCATTGTGCATTATGGTGTATCAAAAAAAGGTTGGGACCACTTTTAATTCCATCGTGTGCCCCAAAGAGTTAAGAAGAAAATTTGATGAATTTTATTTTATCTCATCACTTTGTTACAATCGATAACAGATTGTTTTCTATTTTTTTTTTCCTTTTTTTTTTTTTTTTTTNTTTTTTTTTTTTTTTTTTTAATATTTAATTTCTTCACAACTTTTTGCTTGGTGTGTACATAATCTCCATCTTTGTACACTAATTCAAAATGATAATACCACAAAATCAATAGAACAGTCAATTATTCTCCATAAATATAAATAATAATATACAAAAATGATACAACATTATAATATTCATAATAATAATATTAATAATAATAATAATGAAGTAAAATTTATAATATTAATAAAAAAAAAAGATGACTGTGTGTGTGAAGCAGTGAGATATAATGGTAGCGGAAGTAGAATGGCAATTAGGGTTTGTAACAATAATGATAATCATATTATTATAATAAAATAACGATATAATAAGATATACATATACACGTTTCATTTTCTAACGTATGTATATGTATATATGAGTCAGTGTATGTTTTGTTAATACATGAACAGTGTAAATGTAAAGTACTAATTATTAATTAATTACATTCACTCTTCTTTTTCTCTCTTTCTCTCTCACTCTCTCATTCTTTTATTTATATATATATATATATATATATATATATTTTTTTTTTGTTTACCAAAAAACATATGCACTTAATAACAGAGACACACACACACACACTTTTAGGCAAAATGTCATAAAATATGAAATATCGAATTTTTGACTCCTTTTTTTTTCAAAAGATTTTTTTTTTATAAATGTGTTTCATCATCTTCATCATCATCATCATCTTATTTTGCTAATAATAAAGAGTTACAGGTATAATTAATAATCATTTGTCATAATAACTTTTAGCTAACAACATTTAGCGCATTATTTTTTTCAAACAGTAACGAAAATACTTTTTTTTTTTGTTTTTTTTTTCTTTTTTCTTTTTTCAAAGATAAATAACAATGTCGTAGTTGGTGTTTCTCGCAATTATTTATATTTTTTTTTAACAAAAGTATATATAACAATTTGAAATGAAATTTTTTTTTCTTCTTTTTTGCCCTTGTTTATTTTTTTATTTTTTTTTTTATTTAGAAGACTAATTAATTAATGAAATTAATTATTTTCAAAATAATTTTAATTTATCGCAAGTTAATAGTAAACAATTGTTGATGATATTAATTTTGTCTAACAAATATATCAAAAAGTAATATACAATAATCATTTGTTTGTAATAACTTTGAACTAAACAATAAAGTTTCAACTATGTTGGTTATTCTTCATATGTGTGTATGTGTATGCGTGTGTGTGTGTGTGTATATGTGTGATATACATAATCTACATTATGTATTATATTATATAAATTATTTACAATATATCCAAACAAATCAAAGAGTAATATCAACGATTTTACTTAACTCGCGATGATAAATTTGAAATTAAAAAAAAAAAAAAACAACTTATCAAATTAATAATCTGAAAAAACTTATAAATAATAACAAACAGTTGTATAATACAAAAAAAACCTTATTTATCAAAATAATAATGAAAGCTTATTAATAATATTTCATCATCATCATCATCATCATCATCATCATCATCATCATCTGCTGCTACTGTTTCTGCTCATATCGATACAAACATTTTAAGAAGCGCAATAAAACATTGAACTTGCTCGATAAATTGTCATTTAGCAAATATTATTATTTTGTTATCTTTCAATATTCAAAATTCTAATCAAGTTTCCAACCCCTTTTGAAAAATTCGTTTGTTTTTTTTCCCCTAAGATATATATATATATATATAAAAAGGATTTCTTTGCTCATGATTGAATTAAGAAAAAAAAAACAAACAAAACAACCCACAAAATGCAACAAGATTTGTTGTTTTAAAGCTAAGTACGCAAAATTGAAAATGGCGGCGGTCCAGCTTGTCTCATCATCATAGCAAAACTACTAAGTCCTTCTTCATTAGTACTTTGACCATTTTGGTTATTTTGCGTGCCATTTAATATTTTATTTCTACTACTATTGTGACTCTGTAAATGCTTTTTCAAATGATCCTTCCTGTAAAATGCTTTACCACATTCGGTACATATTTGATTTTTACTGCCTGAATGAATGATCATGTGTCGTGCAAGATGTTCATTACGTTTGAATGCTTTACAGCACATGTTGCATTGATAAGGTCTATCTTTGTTATGACCTTGTTTATGTCGATCAAGATGTTCTTTACGTTTCAAGCTAGCACCACAGATATCACAAATATGAGGCCGTTGTCGATGATCCTCAAGATGTTCGTGCAATGCTTCACGATCTTCAAATCTGTATGCACATTCTGGACAATGGTATATCAACATACCTAGAAAATAAATTAGAATAATGAAATATACATTATAACAATCTTATCATCAATGATTGATTGATACATCAACTTAATTGATGATTAAACATATTTACCATTAATGTGTTGTGGTTCTACTTCATATTCAAGCTTGGGTCTAACTTCTTGACAATTGTGTGACGAAGAATTATTACTATTATCCTCATATTTAGTTACATATGGTAAACCTAAAGTACTAGAACAACGTGCCAAATATTCCGAAGTAAGTCTGAAATCTATTTGCAAGGGATCGGTCATAGTAGCAGCGTCTACTTTTTGAATGGTCTGCGTGCTGGATGATTGATGAGATATTTGTGGACATGTCTCCTTATTACCACAATTATTATTTTCATTTCTATTTTCGTCGGTTGTTTGTTGTACGTGTTGCGGTGGATGAGTTGGATATGCGTATCCGGTCATGTTTCCTTGTGGATGGTCATGTATTTCGGATGGATATTTCACATTATGTGGATTATAAGCCATATTCGTATTAATTGTAAACTGTCTGTTAGCATTTGTGCCTACAAAATTGAATACAGTTGTACAATTGTATTAATTGAAATAGGACATTTATTTGAAATGATGAGATGAGACATTTTTTTTTTATATGCTTACCTTCTAACAGTGCTTTTTACAACACCGGCACATTATGAATTGTTATTTCTTTGTATTAAACTTGATCATTATTATCATATCACGTTCAATTCATGAAAACTGTAAATGCCTACAGAGAGAGAGAGAGAGAGAGAGAAAGAGAGAGAAGGAGGGAGAGTTTATAGAAAAAAAGCATGGAACACAAATCATTTCATCCTGACACACAAGAGGAGAAGGAGGAGAAGGAGGAGGAGGAGGACATCACTTAATGTAAGTTAATATTGTTTTGCAAGAGAGAGAGACGAGAGTGACCCTTCCACTTGTATAATAATTGTCTTCTGTGATATATCATTGAATAAAACTTCTGTAAAATAAGAAACAATATTTAAACTATCATATCGTGTGTGTTTAATTTTATACAGTAATAGAGTTATTTAGAAATAATTGAAAATGTGTTGCAAATGATAGTGTAGTTGATATGTATTTGAATAGAAATGATAAAATATTGCAAATGATTGGTAAAGAATGTCATATCATGTGTTTCATTTTATACAGTAATAGAGTAATTGAAAAATAATTGAAAAATGTTGCAAATGGTTGGTAAGGAATGTCATCCATGCTTTAATTTTATACAGTAATAAAATAATTACAAAAATAATTGAAAAATGTTGCAAATGGTTGGTAAGGAATGTCATTCATGCTTTAATTTTATACAGTAATAGAGTAATTCAGAAATAATTGAAAAATGTTGCAAATGAGAGTGTAGTTGATATGTATTTGAATAGCAATGACAAAATATTGCAAATGATTGGTAAAGAATGTCATATCATGTGTTTAATTTTATACAGTAATAGAGTAATTGAAAATTAATTGAAAAATGTTGTAAATCAAAGTGTAGTTGAAATGTATTTTGAACAGAAATGACAAAATATTGCAAATGGTAAGTAAAGAATGTCATCCATGCTTTGATTTTATACAGTAATAAAATAATTACAAAATAATTGAAAAATGTTGCAAATGGTTGGTAAGGAATGTTATATCATGTGTTTAATTTTATACAGTAATATAATAATTACAAAAATAATTGAAAAATGTTGCAAATGGTTGGTAAGGAAGACATTCCTTATAAGGAATCCCATAAGGAATGACATTATTCTTTATTCATGCTTTAATTTTATACAGTAATAGAGTAATTCAGAAATAATTGAAAAATGTTGCAAATGAGAGTGCAGTTGATATGTATTTGAATAGAAATGACAAAATATTGCAAATGGTTTGTAAAAAATATCATCCATACTTTAATTTTATACAGTAATAAAATAATTGAAAAAAATAATTGAAAAATGTTACAAATGAGAGTGTAGTTGATATGTATATGAACAAAAATGACAAAATATTGCAAATGGTTGGTAAAGAATGTCATCCATGTATAATCACAAGTCTTTCCTTCCTTTACCTTTTAGAAATAATGTCTGAGAGAGAAAGAGAGAGAGAGAGAGAGAGAGAGAAATGTAAAGGAAAAGAAATATTTTCTCTTACCATTTAACAAGAATTCAATTGACAGAAGAAAGTGAATGGACGAGAGTAACACTTAATAGGCACTTATTTTAATAACACTTAATTTTTATCATTATAATTTAAGATTATAATTGTGAAATGAAATAATGTTGATTAAATCGTAATATTTCGTCAACGTTCGTTACCACGATAAAGAACGAAAAAGTCTGATTGACCAGGTCAGGACAGGTGTTACTCTCCATCCCTTTCTATCTCTCTCTCTCTCTCTCTCTCTCTCACTCTATTTCTCTCTCTCTCTCTATCTCTTTCTCTCTCATTCCACATCCCCCACTCTTTCTACCCTTTTTCTCTGATTCTTTCTTTCTCTTTCTTTCTTTTTATAATACTTTTTTTTCTCTCTCTCTCTCTCTCTCTTTTTTTTTCTTCTTCTCTTATTTTATCAAAAAATTCCGATCTTTTTATTTTGATGATGAATTTAATAAAAGTCATTGACTTTAAGTTGAAGAAAATTGGAGTATGCAGGATGATAATTTTCTCATTAACAGGAACTTACCATCGGGTGATGTTCAACGTTGAAAACAGTATACGTTCGTTCCTATTTGTTTGTATCCAGTACGGCCATCTTTACCTATCAGCTGCTTTGCAATCCGTTCGTACTTTCTCTCTCTCTCTCTCTCTCTCTCTTTCTCTTTCTTTCTTTTTCTTTTTTCTATCTCTCTTTCTTTTCTGTATCTTTATCTCCGTGATTGTAGAATTACTTGTTCGTTCTTATTGTTAAATCTTTTATTACATTATTATTATTATTATTATTTTCTTGCAATAATCTATTTATTAATGCATTATTTAATGCTTCTATCATATTTTTGAAATCTTAAATACATATATAATAAAACGTGTGACAATTAATATTAGTAAGATCAAAATGAAAAAGGAGAGCATTTAAAATGAATTCAAAATTGGCGGGGTTCGGTGGCTACGATAATAGCGCCTTCTGATTGAACGTTTGATTGAACCAATAGCGTGGCTTCTTTCGGACACCGTTATGGCGCCAACGCGTACAGATTTTGGATTATTTTTTTTATATTGAATTATATCAGAAGTAGACTTTTTGTGTGGACAAAATTTATCTTAGTTTGTATCGAGACCACCAGTGGGCGATAGTAGGTACTTTAAGTGGTGACAGTACAATATTATCAAAAAGAATCATACAAATTATCAACGAAAAGTACAATAATGTTAAAGAATATAAAAAACTGAGAAATGAAAATATATATTCGATTTTTACATAATTTTATTTAATAAATATAAGTTCGAAGTAATAACTTGTACCTGTAGATGGCGACACATGTTTTATCAGTCGGTATGAAGAAGTAATAACTAATACTGCTAGATGGCGGCACATATTTTATCTGTCGGTAAAATAAAGTAACAGTTATTACCGCTAGATGACGGCACATTTTTACCTGTCGATAACATCAATTAATATTTTTTATCCTAAAAAAATAATAAAAACTAAAAAAATATTATCGAAAAATTGAACAAACTTAACCCTTTCTTAATATTAAAAAAAATATTGGTATGGGCTACTTCTGAGACACACACATGGTTTATATTGTAGACTACTACAGTATTACAGCTAAAAAAATAAACATACCTTCGGATACCGGTGGGTATCCGACCCCAACCGGTGGTTGACCCTCTACTCAGGAACATAAGCCACCAAACCCTTTTTTAATTCCTTTTTTAGAACTTATATTTATGGTTAAATGTTTTAAATTTTGAATTATATAAATATAATTACTACGTAATAAATCATCAACATCTATTTATTTCATTTGAATTAAATTAAACTCAGTAGTCTCTCTTACGAATGTATAAAAATGGTATCGTTAATAGGTTTGCCAAGTTTAAATAACGCGCAACATTTCTAAAAATATATTCAACAACAAATAAAAACATTTTGCAATCAAAGAAACGACCGATGATTCATTTATCATCAATATCACCAATTGCATTCGATGATACCACCTTATTTACGTGATTCATTCATTCGTTACTCTTGATGATAATATTTTTGTCATGATTCTACGATATCGAATTAAAAAAAAAAAAAAATAACAAAAATAAAAATAAAAATATATGTAATAGGGTTCTACACCGATATTAACTACGATATTGTGTGAATCATATCGAGAACCCTCCTCTTGGTCATCCAGTTACCGGCCGGAAGTTGGTCAAAGTTAAGAGGAGGTGTTTTAAAACACAGTTGCAGGACAACCTTCTTTTTTCTTTTGGTTCATTTTATTTAACCCGTTAATTAGGGAATTCCCTTTTTAATTATGCAGCCTTTGTTTTTATTATTTATTTATTAATTATTATATATAAAATGCTCGTCCAGTTTACAGGTTAATCCTCGAGCTATTTGTTTTGTAACTTTTGCAAATATTTCGGGAGTCCAAGAAGAAGGACAGGTGGTAATCAAAGGGTCAATCAACGGTTAGGTCTAACAATTGATGCATAAACAAATTAAAAATTGCATTAACACCAATAACACGATGCATTTATTATAAATATTAAGTCGTCCCAAAAATGTTTTCCATTTTTTGGTGATAATTTAAATAATATTACATGAGTAATATACTTTATTTGTTGTATTTTATGTTATTTTACTAATTATTGAATTGGCAAGTAAATAATTGCGGATTTTGTCGATAGGTGGCTTTTAAAAATCAGCAATGGTCAAATCAGCAACTAAACAAAACCCAATAATTTTATTGTCAACCCAATAATTTCGATTCTACTCTATTTAATCTTAAAATTATTCAACAATAAACAAATATTGTGCCCTAAGAATTACTAAAAATAAAAGAAGAAACTTTTGGGACGACCTAATATAATATTTTATTTAAAAAAWAAAAACTAAAATAACTATGTCACTAGGATTGAAACCAAACGAAAACGGAAGGCAACGTTAACACGAAATTACTCGTGGGAGTTTGTTTAACAGGTTCGTTAACGATCGAACGTCAAACATGTGTCTCTCCACACACACACACACACACACATTTTCTCACTCTCTTTCTCTTCGATCTATTTTACAGGCGTCGTAACCAACATGATCAAAATGTCGGTTTACAAACGTTCATTCTAGAACAACTATGATAACGTACAGCAACGTGTGATAGAATGGGACAGGTAGAGCACACATTAACACACACACATACACACATACATAGAAAATGTTTTAGAACATTTGGAGATATTCCAAAGTGCTGTTGCTGCCTTTTTCGCATATGGAATCGAGGTTGTATTCGTACGTTTATATTAGCCTTTTAAACGTCAGGTTTGCGTGACCGGTAAAAAGCCTAATCGCGAAAGCCCATGTTATGGTACTGGTGTTGCTACTCTTCGTGTGACTCCGTTTGGTGTGTAGGACTCACGTGGAACCCTGACATGCATTCTCGAATATGGCAAGATACTTAAACGTAGTCTATATTTGGATATTAATACGATCGCGTAAGTTCGATTGTGACCTTTTTCCAAGTGGAACAACCAAATGTATTCATTTTTATCTTAAAACAAAATATATACAATTCCTGACAGAATATCAATCAAATATATTTTATTTCAAATTTAATTAATGTCAATTATTCATTAACACTGGCATGCGGGTATATTTCTTCATCAAGTTACGCGTGCAGCGGGCACTTTTTCGTGAATCGCGTGGGAGTTTGGTAAAAAAATTTCTTCTATCTTATTTGTTGGATCTTTGTCGGATTATACACTAAATATGCATTGAAAAATGCATAATTCATCATATACATATGCTAAATATATTTGTTCACTTCACTGTATACTAATTACATGTTTAATCTACTATTAATCACAAATCAACTAAATACGTATTTTTACGTGATCCGCTCTTTAATGACAGATTACGAAAAACGTAAAAATACGTTACCCGCGTGTCAACCGTTAAATTGTCCCTAAATCGATTAGTACCAATCTAATAAAAAAAAAGGCTTGTCTTTTTTGATAATTTAATATACTCAATTGACAAGTATCATCATCCCCCACCACCCCTGTCATTGAAAACAATTATTATTAAAATCGAGATACAAATGTGACTACAGATAAGACCTAAGAGGAGTGTGGGGGAGTGGGGGGAGTGGGGAGGAGGGGGTTCAGAGATAAGTGATAAACACTTGTAATAACGTCAGAAAAAAAGAAAAAGAATTAGGTGTGGGGTGGGGGAACAGAGAGAAAAGGTTGGAAAGCAATGCACAAAGTGACCATATTTGGTGTTGTTAGATTACGTTGAATACGTGGGCGTGAACCACCATGGCCACCCCTCGTTACTTCGTAACTGAATCGCTCCAGTTACGTCGTGGTACGCACATTCATGATACTAATTAATTTTTTGTTGTTTTCTTTTGTTTTGGAAGATGAGGTGTCTTGAAAAGAGTCCTTAAGTTGTTTAAACGTGTGAATAAAAATACGAAATTAGGAAGGAAAGTGGAAAGAAGAGGATGAGGAAAAGGGAGGTATGAAAAATAAAAGTGGGGGGAAGGGATAAGTTTGATAGGGAGAGGGGGAAGGAATGGTACAAATATGTCGACGTCTGGAAATCGACCTTTATCGTACAGAGGATACCAACATCCGCTAGGATAACGACTTGGTGGTGTCCCACCACAGGAAGGGGAACTTCTCTTTTTGCGGATACCAACTCTTCTTTTTCTTTTTCTCTCATTTTTTTCTCTCTCTCTCTCTCTCTCTTTACCTTATTCTGACTTCACAATCCAAAAGGTTTTTATCGATTTCAGATAAAAGAATGAAGAAAAAAAAAATAAAATAGAATTATACGACATTTCCTCGGAATTTCCAAGAAAATGTCTTCTACTTTTAGCTTTTTTCTTTATTTCCTTCAATTTTTATTTTTATTTTTTATTTATCATGTTTATCATCTTGTTCATACTCAATTTTGGTTAGTTTTTGGAAAAAATATGGTTGGGATTTGTTTTTTTTTAATTGTTTTCTATTGGATAATAATTTCATTCGACGCCATTTTGTACAAAATTCACCAATTGTATTTATTTATCTCTTGTTAGCATCTTGTAAGTTCTTAATTCTGATTGGATTTTATAAAAAAAATATGGTTTGCAATTTTTTGTGTCATTGTTTTCTATTGGATGATAATTTTATTCGACGCCATTTTGTACAAAATTAACCAATTGTATTCATTTATCTCATTTATCATCATGTACGTTTTCAATTTTAATTAAATTATGGAAAAAATATAATTTGGATGATTTATTTTTTTCTTCAATTGTTTTTTTTCTATTGGATGATAATTTTATTCGACATCGATTTTGTACAAAATTTATCAAATAATTATGTAAAAAATTGTCTCAATTGCAAAACCTTTTGTACTCTAACCTCAAATATCTTTCTTTATTTTATTTATTTTATTTGTAGGAAGAGTATTGAAAAAATGAAGGATTTATTTTTATTATTAATGCTTTCACGTTTTTTAAATATATGTATATGAATATATAAATATATATATATATAGTCATTATTATTATTATTATTATTATTATTATTATTATTATTATTATTATTATTATTATTATTATTATTATTATTATTATTATTAGTATTATTATTATATCTGCAAAGTAGTTTCCGTGATTTCTCATGCGTCACTAGGTCAGAATATAACTTTCTACCAAAGAACGATGAACCGTTCTCATAAATGTTCTCGATACCAATTTCCTTATTTCATATATACATATATATATATATATAAGGTGAGATCAAAGTCCATTTTTATTAAATTAATTCCAAACAACATACATATACATATATATATATATATATTCAACTTTATTTGCGTTCATTTAAATAAATTGTTCAAATTGGTGTCCATTATACTACAACTCTAATCAAAATCGTTTGATTACCAATATGACGAACCAACACTATGACAAATAAATGTACCATATTGTACAACAATTTTTCTTATCAATTATTAAATAAAAAAAATGAAACAAAACCCCTTTCCCTGCCCCATAGAAAATTACCAAGTTTCAAAAGGATGATTTGTAATATCAAATTTACACACACACACACACACACATCTTCGAATATAAATCTTTCGAATAAAAAATAACCTAAAAAACAAAGGTTTAATTAACAAATTACAAAATTAAAATAAAAATATACATAGTTAATTAAAAAAAAAAAGAGAAAACGCATAAAACTATGTCTGCAGATGCAGACGCGCATACGCACAGCGTGCTGCGACGCGCACTTCGATCGAGTCTCCGTGAATGACCTTGATTTCTGAAGCCGTGAAAAGATCCCGTCGTCGTAGAGTCAATTAAACCAAGCCACCAAGTCATTGACTTTGCCGTTTCACGGCCAATTTCTCATTGGCGTCCTATAATACGGTATTATATGCATACATACATACATACACACACACATATGTAAAAGTTGTGCCGAAAAATCTTTTAACGATCTCCCCAACTTTACTATACATATCATTAACAAATGTTTCATATGATTTACACGACACACTGACTCACTTTTATTTTAAAACACGTTCTCCATAAAGATCCTCCCCTCCGACACCTCCTCCCAATTGACCAAGAAAAGAAAACCGATTTCTAACGATCAACGAACGTCTTTGTGTGTGTGTGTGTCTTTGAATAAAAAGACAGATTTC